TCTGTAACCTCACTCAGCTCAGACTACCCCAGGGCCTGCCTTTGTTATGTTCCTGGGAAAAGTCTTGCCTCTGAACTTCCAGGCTGAGCAGAGGCTGCTGCAAGCCAAATTTCCTCAGAGACACTTCGAGACCACAATGGGCACCATCTGCAAGGGTCACGAATGGAAATGAAGCCATAACTGTGCTCAGGCAAGTTATAACTTAAGTTCTACTGAGAAATAAATGGGAGATGGCGACCGTTTGAAAAGAGGGCAGAACTCTCAGTCCCCAACACTACTCGTTATCTTAGGTGGAAGTAGAAACTTCATTAGAGAAACATGTGCAACACGCCAACTTGTTTTAGCTATCAGGGAAGCTTGACGCCTTGGTATTATTTTGTTATTAAAAATCATTTAGGACAACAAATGCTCCAGCCAGGATTTAAGGATGACTTCTTAAATGTATGTAAGTCAGGCAATAATTAACCAGTTTGTTGCAAGTGTTCCAGAAATTCATCCTGCGCTTCGAGGGTGATTGCTGCAATGTGGGGGTGGATGCGCTGTAGTCTTTGTCGGTAACTAAGTGGGTGAATCCCTAAATTAGATGCAAGCTTCATCTCAGACTCAGGGAGCTAGGAACAGCGCTATGGTGCTAAAGCCTCTAGGAGGAGATGGTGAACTTGCAGAACCCTTGCTGGCCAGCACCTGTTCTTACTCTACGCTCCTAATTAAGTAAGAGCAGAGATGCTAGGGAGTAAGCCAGAGGCCAAAGAGCTGCAGGCGACGAGCAGGTGCTGCTTTTATAGGGAGTTTTTCTTCCCCTTCCCGAGCCCCCCAAGAACCTTCCAGTACCGTTAGCTGCCTCACCTGGTAGCAATCATAATTATAACCGTGATTGCTCACATATTTGCACACATCTTTGAGCAGAACAGATGGTCCAAAGAAAGAAAAGGACATTACACAGGGTATTTTTTTTCCTAATCTAACTGCTATCTATCCAGCTTGCCCAGAGCCCCTGCGGTATGCATAACCAGGAGACTTCAGGCATCATCATTATTCAAACACAGATTAACAACAGGGGGAACCTGGCTCTTTGATTTAACGGGCACTCAAAACGCACAGGTTTGAGTACAGTGCAGGCGGTGAGAGCGCAGGTGCAATGGATGCCAACCTGCAGCATGCCTCGCTAGTGCAACCCAGTGGGCCCGCTCCCTGCCTGTGCCCCCTCAGCCTCCTTTGGGAGATTGCTTTACAGCCTAGCAGGGCCATTGCATACCAGAAAATATTTCCTGAGCTCTGAATTGAATTCTCCACTGCTTAAAACCCCACCACCAATGCCTCCCGCCCTGCCCCAGCCACCAGGCAGATTCTGTCCCTCCATGACCTTCATACCCATGGCGAGGGTGCTGCCCTTCCCCACGTCCAGAGGAAGGATATTACCGCTGAGCTCGGCGCAGTTTGCTGAAGTCATTACAGGCCCCCTCCCTGCAGGAAGCTGCAAGACATCACCTGTCCCCACATATTATCCCTGGCACGGCTGCAAGGAAGCTGGCTGCCATGACAAACAGCTGCCAGCCCCGGTCCAGTGAAAGGCACGGAGGAGATTCTCTCTCCTGCTGCCTCAAATCATCCTCCTCTGGAGAGGTAGCAAGCAGCCATCTTCTGCTCCTCCGGTGCAGTGCTTCTCAACCAGGGTGCCTCAAGATCCTTTCAAGGGTGCCATGCAACATTGGCACCGCTAGGCATGCAAATGTGATGCACGAGATGAACCCAGAAAGGAGCCCGTAGTGTTAAAAACATTCTGCCCTGCTGCGGTCTTTGCAACAGAGGAATGACTCTCTTACTTTTTCTGCATTCAAAAAACAAGAGAAAACTAAGAGCTGGCATTTTCCAAGGGGGGGCTTGAGTCTAATGAGGGGTGCCTCAAGTCTAAAAAGGGTGAGGGCCACTGATCCAGTGCTTGCTCAGGAAACGAAGCATGCCTGGCCTCTTCTCTCAACCGTGCAAGCCCCAGCTGCTGCCTCAGGACATGTTACAAGCCAGTCGGGCAGCTTGGACTCCACAGCTGAGCAGGGCTGCTTCCCGGTTGCCAGTCACACATGTGGAGCCCGGAGCCATTGGGAGCTGGCCACAGGGAGGGGGGAAGCAGGAAACAAACACAAACTTCTCATCGGCACTTTTTCTTCCTTCAAATGCTCTCAGATCTGGGGGCTGAGCAGGGCCTGGTCACACACAGCAGGCAGATGCATCCTTGCCCTGTGGGAAGGAGCTAAGCTGGCAGCAGGTGGTGGCACCTGTGCTGCTCCAGCTGCAGGGCTCTGCCACTCAGGAGGGTGCAGCAGGGACAACGGCCAGTGATTCAGGCAGGGCAGGAGGGAGGGAGGTGCCAGCAGAGAAGACCCCCTTCCCAGGGAATGTGTAACAGCTGGTTGACCCCCCCGCCAGCCCTCTGTCCAAATGCAGACTAAAGGACCCCAGGTCTGGGTGCAACTGCTGGATCCAGCTGCTGGCAAATCCCTTTTGCTGCATTAAACGGGGCTGCAGCCAAATGCTTGGATGATGTGGTTAGTAAAGCTCCAGCATCCTGCACAGCACGCCCATAGCTGGCTGAACAGATCCTAGCTCAATCTTGCAGGATATCTCGACAGTATTTATGAGTCTGTAATAGTCTCATATCACCTGAGGATACCTTCCCTTGGGGGGTGATACCCGTGAGCCTGAGATACTCTATGTCGCTGCAGCTCAAGGCTAGGTTTGGTGCTACCGTGAAGTGCTTCACTCGATAATGTTCAAGCGCGGCTTGTCCACGCTTTACGAAACGTCACCGCCACCCGTGAGTCCTTCCGAGAGATCTTCGGGAACGTGGGTAGATCAGAGAACAGGGACCAAGCGCAACTTCACCAAGCGACCTTCAGCTTATCAATGGGGCCTCAAAGGCAACCAATTCACCATCTCTGAAAACAAAACCCCCAGTGCTAGAGTTGTGCCAGTTCACACTGGTTAATGCTGCCTGAGCCCACATAGCTTCCAAATTCAGGCCAGATGAGCATACAAACCTCAGCGCCTCATCCTTCCTTGCGTGCGCTCCTTAGCCAGACTACAGCTCCCACCTTCATGAGGTTGTTTGCTCATTAGCCTTCCAGTTAGGCCAGACATCTCAAGAAAGGTCTGTCTCGTGGTTCTCCAGTACTGCCGCTACTAGCCTCTCTAGGCTGAACCTTCTGTGCTTTAATCTTAGTCACTTCTCACCTCCAGGCCTCTGTTTCTGCGTCTCTTAAATGGATGAGTCAAGAAGGATTTCTTACCCACCTTTGCAAAGCACTCCAAGATCTAGAGATGTGAAGAGCTACAAAAATGCGATGAATTATTAAGATGGCACCAGTTAAAGCCACGAACCCCAGTGGCACCCTGCATAAAACCAGAAACATGGAGGAGCAAAAGTTATCTGTTATTTCCTGATCAGCAGCCAAAGGTTTTAGTCGGTTCAGATCCGGTTTCTAATCAGCACTAGGGCAGATTTCAAACCAATCTGCCTGCATCTCCCTAGTATCTCCCAATCTGCCTAGCATCTCCCTAAATATTTCAGCCTGCATTCGACGCAAAGGGTGATGGTTAGTCCATGGTGGGCTATTTATGGCAGCAAATGCATCTCCTCTGTCCCAGTAACTGAAATGGCGGTGAAACATTTTGGTTGTGAATGATTTACAAATAAAGGGGGGAAAAGGAACTGGTACGTGCTAACGAGTCTACAAACAAGCACTGCTCCCTGCCAGACAAAACAGGAATCAACCGTGGAAAGGAACACACCGTCTACTTAGGGGAAAAACTGAGCTAGTTTCCTTATAGTTTCCCGAATAATGATTCAAAACACTGAATGAATTCTTCCAAGAGAAGAACCAGATGGAAGGAGACAGCGACCAAGCAAAAACTTCGGGGCCAAATTCTGCACTCGCCTTCACTGCTGTGAATTTGACTCGACTCCGGCGAGATCAGCGTAAAACCATTTTTAACACCAGCAGAATTTGGCCTTGGAGTTTGGGGTCAGTTATAAACTTCTTTTCATACAGCAACAACAAAAATCCCTTTTAAGGAACGGCTTTGAGTAATGCCCACCGAGAAGCCTGAGACCTTTTAAATATGCCTGACCTGGCACAGAAGAAGTCATGCACAGCCCTCCTCCTCTGCCTCATGGAAAGATATTTCAACAACAACATGACTCAGCGACAGCACAGGTCACTTCTTTTAGAGCTTTAACTTTAGGCACAAGCAGCAGTAAAGATTTATGCCACATTGGAAGAGAAAGCCAGAGCAGTTTATTTTTTTAAAAACGCGGCTGGGTCAGCAGCCGCCTGCAGTAGAACGGATGGACCGCTTGACTGAGTACATCGCGAAGACGCATCCCTCTCTGGACCCAGGTCCCGCTACCGAGGAAAAGCATATTCTTTTAGAGTCAGATTTGCTAAAGCACCCAGGTGACTTCGGGATATAAATCCTGGGAGCTTTCACTGCGACTTAGGAGTCTGAGTCCTCAGACTCTTTGGGAAACTGCACGTTCAGAGGCACGCTGCTTCAAGGCCCCTGGAGATGCTCCGTGCAGAAAGAAGAACAAATTCTAACAAGGGCTTTGCATTCAGATCGCATAGCTTATTCACCAAGCTCAAAGTGATTAAAAAACATCAATTAGATCTCAAACATCCCAGGGAGCTAGGAAGGCACTGTTACCTTCGTTTTACAGGTAAAGGAGCTGAGGGACAGGGAGTGGAAAGGACTTGATGTCAATGTAGGGAATAAAACCTCCGAGTCCTGACTCCTAGACCCACGTCCTTATTGTTACCTCCATTACTTGCCCACAACATAGCCCAGGCAACTCACCTTTCCCAGAGATCACTGTCAGCTCTGCAGCGTGCAGGTACACCTATGGGCACTTGCACCAGTCATTACCTCTAGCAGCAGACCTGGCTGGTAAGCAACAGAAAGCATGTCTTAGCACTTTAATTAGATGGAAGTTTGATTGCAATTACCCCGGCTAAGTGGCCTGTTCCGGCTCCGGGATCTGCTACGCTGTCTCTGAAGTCGTGACCTCCGAAGCAGTCGGTAGTAGTAGGATGGTCTCCCAGAACTTTTCCTGCTGTTCACTGACATTTTTGTATTGATTTCACACATAGACACATGCACGCGCGTGCTCAATCTCCCACTCTGACGCAGCGGCAGCACTTCCAGCGTTTATTGGAGTGGAAAGAGGGGGGGAAATAGGAACTCTCCAATTTAGACATTTAAAATAAAATGAAAAGGAATAAAAAAAACCCACCACCAACAAAAACCTGGCATGGAGCACACTGTCTGAGCAGGGAAAAAACTTGCAGCCAGCAAGATAAACTGTACTAACAACTCCTGCCCCCAAAAAGATAAGCCTGTTGGAATTGGAAAAGGAAGCCTGAGTTGGCCTGGCCTCTTGAAAAGTGAAGAAAAGGCTGGACAAAATCCTGGACTGGATTGCCTCCACGGGATGGCCACATCTGATCAAGCTGCAATGGAAAAATCACATTTTTCCTGGAAGGGGGAGGAGGGAAGGGAAAGAGGCTGCACAGCCCTGGGTGCTAGCATGCTTGCACGTGCCTCTGGCTAGCTGATCTTTGCAAAGATGAAGTTTAAGGCAGCTCTGTTTGCAACAAAAGGTGCCTAGGTCTTTATGAAAGAGGGGCTCGAGGAAGGGTGTAATGAGTTCCTTGCCACGGGACACATGTTAATCATCAAGAAGCAAAAGCCCCGGAAAATGAAGTGAAACTTGAGAGGGGAAAACTTTAATTAGAACTTGACTGAACGGAGCTCTAGACTCCCCTGGAGGCCCTTTTCCTTTCAACATTGAAACTGAATTATAGCACATCACACGAGATAAAGAAAGGAGCCTATTTGCCACTCAGATTCTGACTGCACGGGGGAGTCCGTCTGTGGCTCCTAGGGCTCAATAGCATTACATTTGAATGGGCACTATTAATGTTTCAAACCATGGAGAGAGGAAGAAAACCCCCCCCACGTCAACTAGATGTACTCCCTGCATCTCCCATTTCAAAAGCAGAGCTTAGAAGTGAGCTGGTCCAGGCTCTCAGAGCATCCAGCAGAGACGAAGACGTGCCCTCGGTCACGGGCATGGACATACCCCGAAAGAAGAGGAATGGCAGCCAAGGAGCGGGTGCATTAGCCGTCCTCGCTGAGGAGTCAGAGTTGGCATCCCGAGATCATGAAAAACCACGAGAACTCGACAGGGGATGAGCTGCCCAAGTGTGGCATTTGCACTGCGCCTGCCTGCGTTAGCCTAACCTCACCAGGTCTGGGTACCAAATTTATCTGCTGGAAGAGTCATTAGGAAGGTCGGGGACAGAAGGGGCTTGGAGACAGAGCCCTGCTCTTTGCCCCATAAGCTTTCACCCCTGGGGTAACCTGAAAGCTTTCCCCGCTGCTGCTTGCGCTGTACCTTTTCTGGGAATAAGCAGAAACTGTGGGTTTCCAGGGCTCCCAATGCAACACCTCTGACTGGTGCTACATTCACTTCAAGAGAACAAAGAACATCTTTAATGCCACCGTGCAGGGTCTCCCAGCCACCACTGCACTCCAGTCTCCCATCTCGAGATGCCCAGGTCAAGCTGATCAGGGGATGCATTAAGATTTGATATAGTTTAGAGCTTCTGATTAAAATACTGAGAAATGAAACGTTTAATTTCTCTGCTAAGAAAGCCCAGCCCATTACAAAAAGCAAGTCTCAGTCATTACAGAAGTCCAGGCCTGGTTTTGAGGCCTTGCATGAGGAATTCTGTGCTAACTTTTCAACAGCGCAGGCATGAACCAATCAACATGGCAATGACAAGTTCAGGTCAAGTAGGCAAGATCACAGCTGGACAACAGACGACTCTTATTGCATCTTTCTGAGGGGGAGAGAGTACCGAGTGACTTTCCACTGCCTGCTTTCTACCCAGCTGCACCATCACTGCCCGAATTCACGCAGCAAACTGGGACAAAGAGGGATGAGCCACAGTTGCTATATTTTAACCACCTAACATTACCCAGGAGAGAATTTTTTCACCATTCAAATAGGTTAGAAGAGACCAAATAAATTAAACTTTAAAACATTTTCCAGAAGAACTAAGACTCATCTCAACTCATATGTTATCCATTCACAAGAAGTGATATGCATACAATAGGAAAATCCCACGCTATCTGGACTTCAGTTGGCAGATCTGACTGTTCAGATATTTCCCTGAGGCTTTGTGCCCTCGATGATGAGCTGGTAACCTCCTAAGAAGGACAGCCTTGTAGGCTGAATGGGACCTACTGGCCTGTGTCAAGCGAGAAATGCCTTCAGAGCAGTCGTTCCCAACAGCACCTCATCTCGTTCTCCCAGTGGCATTCCCCATAACCCCAACACACAAATGGACACAAAAGCATAAACAAATGATTTTAAAGGTTCATCCAAATTCAGAGGTTTGAGAAACATGAGGTTACCAAGCCTGCTTTTGTTTAATCAGAACTACTTAACTCAGCGACCGTCCATCTGGGATGGAGTGAGAGACGGACATTTAGTGCTCTGCGAGCAGGTGGAAATGATCAGGAGGTGTGTGCTGATGGGTCTGCAGCCCTCATGCATTTATTCAAGTGCGCTTAAGCATCTGTTCTATATTTACCCTTTTTTTTCCCTTTTTACCATCAGAGGTACCTTCAGAGACGGCCATGCAGGTGACCATAAAACAGGATGAGTTAATGAAGGGCTATAAAGTGCAATGACAAGAGAAGGGAGCCCTACAGTAAGAGCACAAATAGGTGGGAGTCTTGTTAGAGTTTTGCTGGACTGCCTCTGTCTCTCTCGCTCACTTCAATGATTGTTTGACCGCAGAAAGTTTGGATGCTTCATAGGAGTAAGCAACAAGAAATGACCCACCTGGGAGGTAACTGGGCTGCTTTGGACCTTTCCAATTAAACAAGAGATGCTTCTTCCTCAGGCCCATTTTGAAAGCCACCTCCCAACACCATTTCTTTTCTGTGCAGATGAATCTGGTGCTTGCAAAAGCAGCTAGATTAACAGCCCTAAAGAAAGATGCCTACATACAAAATGGTCTCTATGCAAAACCAGTTAGGTAGTGGCCATACAAGATTTCCTACCACAGCCCTGCCAACGTGACCTACTCATTCCTCCAAAAAAAGAGGAACTGAGGCTTCATGGATGTCACAATGAGCCAGCAGAAGTCCCCTGAATAGACAGCTGACCCATGACACAGAGGTCACTTCAGAGCCACCGATAAGCAGTATCCTTCTGTCATCTGCAACGAGGGTTGGGTTTACACTATTTAAGTTCAGAGCAGATTGAAGCTGTCCTGCCTTGCAGGATATGGCATGTGTCACACAGGCCTGCTGCACTTTCTACACCACTTTAAGCTGGATTTATTCCACTCCTTTGCTAAAACCTTACAGGAGCTGCAGAAGTGTGGGGTCAGCACCAACGGTCCACAGTGGAGACAGAGGCATAAATGCTGGCTTGTTTGCTCTGACATCAAGAGCAGCGCGCACTTGCCCGAGGGTTGTCTCAGCTACAGAGATGCTGTTACGTCCATCTCTGGTGACAGAAGATGCTTCTCTCCAGCTTTACTCCTTTTTCTCAATCTTTTTTTTCATTTACAGTTTGCTACCTGAAAAATAACCACTGGTCTTCAGCATGCCCGCTCCCCAGCCTCTTCAGTCATCACTCTTCATCCTTTCTCAAAGGGCTGCAGAAGAAAACCATCACCTCTTGTAGCCATCTCTCCTTCTGCGGAAGGGGACTCAGTCTTCACTCTCATTCTTTATTCACAGTGCACAGCCGCTGCCTCCGTCATGACTGCAGGGACCCCAACTGGCCAGGGTATGACAGTCTGTCACTTCATATCCCCAGTTACTGTGACACCTCTACTTGCCTAAAAGTCTAACAGCAGTGATAGTCCAGTCTCTTTTGGATTCAGGCCCCTGTTCACCAGGAACTGAACTGAGAACTGCCTACATCATTTTGCCTGGGATAGAAGACAGCACCCATGAGGGGGCAAGGTCAGTCTTCCAATCTGTGCTGAACCAATGAAACCGAAAAGGAAAGTTTCCAAAAAAGCCCCCAAATATAAACACACATACACACACACACACACACACACACACACAATTTAAATGTTTGCAAATGCAGTCCCCTCTGGGGTGAAACGCAGCATGTTCCAGAGATGCACAACACAACAGCACCGAGGTGCAGAAAGGAAGTCAGAAATAAACTTTTCTTTCAAATGTAGAGCTAAAATGCAATGCTTAATGTTTATAATAACTGGGCTGTACTACTGAGATCCCAGGATAGATGCTTGCTGTCTGTATGCTGATAAAACCCAAATGTGAGTGGGGGAAAATAGTAATTATTTATGTCATATGCATGGAAAATAGTAAAGAAAAACAGTGGGGTAGGAAGGCAAAGAGGAGGGACTTGGGTCTGAGAACATAAACATGAAAGAGAAGTCTTGGAAATCTTACAAAAATAAAATGACTCTTCCTACATAGCTGCTCCCTACAGAGATGTATTTTTATTAATTATTATGGCTGTTGCTGTTATTGTGGGATCCCACAAGATCAACATCCCGTTGCACTAGGTGCTGCACACACACAGTAAAAGGTCTGGCCTAAAGAGTTTGTCATCTAATGAAGACGACAGGCACTTTGTGGGAGCTAAGAATCACCCCCATTTCAGAAGTGAAGCGCACAGTGACTTCCTCCAGGTCACGATGGGAATCGGAGGCCCTGCTGGGAACAAAACCCAGACCCTGGGGGACACTGTCCAGAGCCTCAGCCAGCCTTCCTCTCTGGACAAGCAGGGGTGCTGTCAGATACGGGCTGACAGCTGTTCTTGCATACATCAGTGTGGCTTAACAATGCACCACCCCACTGTCCAGATGGGTTTAAAACCAACATTTCCCACTGAAATGCCTAAAGTCAGGCACTCAAGTGCCTCACTTTCCACCCAGAGCTTCTACTGACTTTGAACAGTCGAAGAATGTGGGAGTCGCATGAAAAAGCAAGTCAGGAGGCTCCACGAGGCAGCTGGCATCCCCATTTCTTGTGCTGCCTCATCTAACCACTAACCAACCTGCCTCTCCATCAGCAAGTTAATTTTTTTGGACCATAGCTTACAGGTTTCTGTGTGCAACAAGCTGCCTCCCCAGGGCAGGAGCTCAGTCCGGGCAGCAGACTTACTCCCAGGACGCAGACTGCAGTAGGTAAACACAAGGGTGGAGAAATATGTTACTCACTGTGCTGGGAAAAACTGCATTGCATGGCAAACACCACAGCAGGCAGCCACATGGGAAGCGTCACTCAGTCATCAGGCAGGTTACAGTAACACCGAGGAGAGTCAGAGTGTCTGAGAACCGAACTGGAGATATTTCCTGAGCGGTGCAATACACTCGGGGCCTGCCAGGGAACCGGGACTGACCTCGGAGTAGG